CCAAGGCCTCCACCAGACTGAGTCCAGTACAGCTAGATGGTGCCCGGCTACCACCACTGACTGCTCTGACGGGGATCACAACAGAGGGTTCTGGAAAGAGCTGGAGAAGGATGTCGAACAAAATTCTAACACACAAAAAAAGAACAGATTTACTGGCCTGACAGAGACTGGAGAAACCCCTAGAGTATGGCCCCTGGACACCCTTTTAGCTCAGTGGTGAAGTCACTCTCGAGGTTCACGGTTCAGCCGGGGATTGGACAGCCCCATAAAACAAAATGGGACTAATGAGGCACAGCAGTCCAGGGGCAGGAAGGGACCAGAAAACTGGTGATAGGGAACCCAAGGTTGAGTAAGGACAGTGTTGACATGTCGTGGGATTGTTAACCATTGTCATAGGGCAATATGTGTACTAACTGTTTAATGAGAAAGTATTTGTTCTGTAAACCTTCATCTAAAGTACAAAAAAAAAAAAGAATTATCTATGTGAGATCAAACTGAGAACAGCAACTCAAAAGGTTTGATGGGAAGTCTAGGGGACAGTGAGTAGAAGACAATGGTGATGGAATAATTTGGAAAAGGATAGTTGAGAATAGCAGCACAATTGGAAGAACGTAATCAATGTCACTGAATTGTATATGTAGAAATTTTTGAAATGGTGTATCTTTGGCTAAGTATATATTCTCACAAAAAAAAGGCCCTCCAAGGTCGTGAAGGGAGTGTCGACATGTCATAGGGTTGTTAACCAATGTCATAAAACAATGTGTACTGACTGTTTAATGAGAAACTATTTGTTCAGTAAACCTTCAGCTAAAGTACAATAAAAAAAATTTAAAAAAAAAAAAAAACATTTCAGGCCCCCGCCGGTAATTAGCCTTCTAAACTCCATCCTATTCCTGCCATTTCAAGCCCAACCACCAATACGTTTAGACTGAACTCTCCTGACTAGCTATCCATGCCCCGCCTCTTGACTAACTACCCGCCCCAAGAACTGTTCAGGCTCCGCCTCCTCAAAAATAACATTCCAAGCCCCGCTGAGAGGGCTAAAGATCCAGCCCCGAGCCCTCAACTCGTCTTCTGGCTTTCACCTACTAGAATAACCCTCCTAGCGTCACCTCCCCTTGAATTTACATCCCTTGGCCCCACCAACAACCCGAGTTCTGCCACTCTAGAAGAACCCCCTCTTCTCGGACCCCACCTCCTGGGAAGACCCCGCTCCCGTCACTCACCCTCCTTGGGGCGCAGGCGCATTGTGGCACCCGCTCTGCGTACCAGCGCTGCCACGTCGGCGGCAGCTCGGGTCGCCAGGGGGCGCGCGTCCAGCCGCGCCAGGAGCTGCAGGGCACTGCGGCCGGCCGGGAGGGGGAGGCCGCGGCCTGCGCAGGTAAGGGGAACAGGTCAGCGCAGACCCTGAGCCTCAGCGAACACACTAACTTACAGATATCCGAAGACCTAGAAATGCCCCTCGAGATCTCCGGAGACGCCCCAACCACTCTCTTGATAATGTGGAGGTCACTGACTGCCCCTCAACGTCTCCGTGACCTCCGACCTTCCCGGGTATGTCTATGGACCCCCGCTCCCCGAGAATATCCCTGGAGATAGCTATTTGACTGCAATATTCCCGGACATCTCTGACGACCCTAGGAATATCTCCGACTGCCTCCAACATACTCGGGACCTCGACTGCTCTCTTATAAGCTGAGGTTCCAAACTCTCCCCCACAGTTCCCCCTGATATCTGAGAGAGCACGGTCTGTCCTCCATAAACCCTGGACCCTGGTTCACCATCCAGATATCCTAGGGAACTCCAGCTACCCACCCCCCCATAAATTCCCTCAGAGGCCCCCTTCCCCAGGTAGTCCACATAACTCCACATTTCCTCTGCACATATCCCTAGGGGCCCCGAGCTACCCTCCCCTGCCAATTCAAAGCTGACCCTGATTGCCCAGTTGTCCCTAGTGACCCCGGGCAGCCACCTCCCACCCCCCGCCCATCTCCCCGGAGTCTCCTGAAAGCCCCTGGGTCTGGGACGCAGCCCTTCCGTGTGAGTGGGGGTGAGTAGGGGTCTTGCGTCCAGCCCCCCTCGCTGGGCCCCTTACACCGCCGCCGCTTGGGCGCCAGAGCTGCTGTGTTTACAACCAGCAGGAAGGAAAAGGTGAGGAGCAGACAGGCGGGGTGAGGGGTGTCAGGGGCCGCACGCCTTCCCTCGCTCCCTGCCTCCTCCCTTCCCCGTACCTTCTCTGCTTCCCCGAGGGTCCTCAGCGCCCCCTGCGCGTGCCTCCATGGCCGGGACTCGGCCGGGTGAACTAAGTCCCGGCAGCAACGCGGTTTGTGCGCCGGGGCGCGCTCACCTGGCGACCCGCCCAGGCCCAAACACTGCTGAGACTGGCTGGTCCCGTGCTGGCGTTCCGACCCGCGCCGTGACCTGCCTGGCGGCTAGCATGGAGCCCTCTCTGTGCGAGCCAGCATGAGTGCTTGGCCTCGCTGTGCCTCAGGCACTGCCTCTGTTTTCTGGAAACCCGGAGCTGGGCTCCTCATTCCACCGAGATGTTATCTCACAAGCAAGGGGGAGTTGAGGCCCAGAGAATTTAAGGGCCCCGTCCAAGGCCCAACTTCTAAAAATGGGGGTGCAGAACTGGAACCTAAGCTTGCTAGGGAATTCTGCACTCTCCAGCAGAGCTTTGCACACAATAGGCACTGCGGAATTTTGCAATAGATCTTTGCCTAAAACAGTAGGGAGCTGGAAGAGTGTGGTGGGGCCTGGGAGTGTCCTGCCCTTGGAGCATTTGGTGCCATGGGAGCGTTTGGATCCCTGAGCATTATGGGGTTGGGAGACTCAAAAAATGGGGAGGGGAGATAGGAGCCTGGACTTGAGGAGGCTTTGAAGGTTCTGGGTTGGATGAGTCATCAGCCAATGTGAGGGGAGAAATGGGGCCCCATCTAGGTTTCAAAAGTGGAGTCTGGGAGGTAGGCCTCAAGGAGGAGCCCTTGGGCAGAGTGCTACTGTAGTGGAAGGAGGAAGGGGGTTGCAGTGAGGGAAGGACCTGTGACTGCCACTTGGCGGAGGAGCTCAGAGACTTGCTCAAGTCCCCACAGCCAGCCAACAACAGAGGTAGCTTATCCCCAACACTCACTTGGTCCGTGGCTGTTTCACTAAGAGCTGTGGATACACTGCATCCTCATGCCCATTCTGGCTGGCTGGGCAACCTCTCTGATCTTCCTACAAGGCCCAGTGTTGTTATAGATAAAACAGGCTGAAAGATTGCTGCTTTTATTCCTCCCCTAGGTCCCCCCTTTAACCTGACCTCTGTCTGAGGGCGGCCTACTGGACCTTCATCACTGCTCCACCCCATCCACCCATCCATGTGCCTTCAGCCACTGCCTGGGGCTGTCACAGCTCCCGAGAAATAGTCCCACTGTTTTTCCTGTCTCCCTGCCTTTGCCCATGCTGTGTCTTCTGTCTGGGAGGCCCTTCCTAGCACCGTGTCTGCCTGAAGTTGCCTGCTGGTTATCAATGCCTCGTTCAAAGGCTCCAACCCTTCATGATCCCATTTCTGACAAGAAAGAACGTGTTAATATGCAGAAGATGTATGGTTGGGGTTCTGAATTGAATTGTGTCCCCAAAAAATATATGTTGTAAATCCTAACCCCTATTCCTGTGGTTTGGAGCCCTGGTGGTGCAGTAGTTAAGAGCTTGGCTGCTAACCAAAAGGTCAGCAGTTCAAATCCACCAGCTGCTCCTTGGAAACCCTATGGGGCAGTTCTACTCTGTCTTTTAGGTTCACTATAAGTTGGAATCGACTCGATGGCAACGGGTTTGGGTTTTTTTTGTTTGTTTGTTTGTTTATTCCTGTGATTATAATCCCAATTGGGAATGGGATTTCTTTCTTATGTTAATGAGACAGTATTAGTGTAGGGGGAATCTTAGATCAATCTTTTGGAATATAAAAGAGATTAAACAAGCAAGTGAGCAGCAGAAATGGAGGAAAATAGATGCCACATCACATGAAGATCACTAGGGAACCAAGGAACAAAGACCTTCTCCCAGAGTCTGCGAGACAGACTTCCCCTTGTGCTGCTACAACAGTAATACCATAAGTGGGTGGCTTTAACAAACAGAATTTTATTTTCTCAAGGTTGGGAGGCTAGAAGTCCCAATTCAGGGTGCCAGCTCTAGAGGAAGGCTTTCTGTCTTTGTTGGCTCTGGGGAAAGTCCTTGTCTCTTTTCAGCTCCTTGGTGATCTTCATGTGGCATGGCATCTATCTTCTTCCCCCATCTCTACTTTTTTGCTGCTTGTTTAATCTGATATTTTATCTCAAAAAAGATTGACTTAAAACACACCCTACACTAATACTGTCTCATTAACATAACAAAGAAAACCCTATTCCCAAATGGGACTATAACCACAGGTATAGTAGGATTTACAACTCGTATTTTTGGGGAACACAATTCAGTTGATAACATTCCACCCTTTGCCCCCCTAAAATCTATGTCCTTCCCACATGCAAAGCATATTCACCCCATCACATCATCCTAAAAGTCTGAGAAAATCATTTTAATTCTCCTGGAATCCAGATTTCTGGCTTTCATGGAATTTGGGGTAATGCAAACAGGCCATTGCCCTTAGCTGCCCTTTGGAACCTTGAGCCTTGAAAAAACTGGTTCCTAAAAGTCACATTTGAGTCAAACAATGGTTTAGATCAACTTGTAAGACCGTTTTGTTTCAGGCATTGTGCTCCTTTGAAGAATTCAGTCAGCTTCGGAAAATAGACTCCAAAGGTCAGACTGGGAACTATGTTTAGGGTAAATCAGTAATTATTTTAATTGTTCTTCAAGAAAATGCTGTATGAAAATCCTTCCTGACCACAAATGTGTTTATCATTTCTATTCTAACCCTTTTTTCCATGGCAAAGCTGATTAGATTTGGTATAAGAATTTTGGAAGTTGTTCTTATCTTGGGAACATTTTTGACACTCTAGTGGAAATGTTACCCCAATTTGCAAATCGTATATTCAATAAACTTCAATCAATGTCGGTTATTGGCTTAATATGATCTTTGTTTTAACAAGTATTAAATCAACTCCAAGTGCAAAAATCCCATCTTCTGAATCATCTAAATCAAATATAGGTGAGACTTTAGGTGTATTCCATCCTGGGGCAAAATTCCTCTTCATCTAGGAACCTGTGAAATCTAGAATACAAGTTATCTGCTTCCAGAGTACAGTGGGGGAACATGTAGAAGGTACACATTTCCATTACAAATGGGAGAGATTGGAGGGAAAGAAGGAATAATGGACACCAAGCAAGTCCAAAACCCAGCAAAACAAATTATGTTAGCTCTCAAGGCTTGAAAATAACCCTCTGTTGTCCTGGACCATCTGGACAATGGCCCCGCCCTCCAGATTCTGTGTGTTGGCCATGCCCTCTGGATTCTGGGTGGAGGCCCCTCAGCTCTGGGCTTCAGCCCTGCCTTCCAGGCCCACAGGGACAGCAAATCTGCTCCCTTCGCTTTGAGCTGGCCTCATTCTCCTAGTCCATCTTAGTGGTGACCCCACCCCTCATCACAGTAGGCTCCCTTCTCCTGCCCCTTGGGCATGGCAGTCCCGCCTCCTCAGCTTTGGGCTGTGGCCCCATACTCTTGGCACACCTGGATGGCAACCCTACAATCCAGAACCAAGTTGTTGGAGATCTCACTCTTTGATACCTAAGACGCCATGGCTTCACCCTTTGAAACCTAGGAGGTAGTGGCTCAACCCTTTGAAATCAAGTCAGCCCTGCCCCCTCCCCAACAGTTCTACTGATCTCCAAACTGCTCCAGGAATGGTCCTTTTTTTTTTTTTTTTCTTTTTATTGGAGGAAAACAGATGTAGCTCCTTTGGCCTGTTTCCCGCCTGTAGAATTCCAGGAGACAGACAGCTTCCTTCCTTTTATCCTATTCACTCTAAGCTGATGGGTTTTCTATCCCATTCACTCTAAGCTGATGAGTCTTCTGCTGTGATAGTTGGTTAGATCAATCAATCACAGGCTTAATTTCTTTAACAAAAGATTGCGTGGCCACATCCTTGGTGAAAAAAGTTGTTTTCATTTAGCACAGTTCATTTCTAAGTCCCATCTCTTTCCTCTTTCATTTTACTATAAGTGGTGGAGGGTGTTATAGATGAGTTGTGTTCCCCAAAAATGTGTGTCAACGTGGCTAGCCCATGATTTCCAGTATTGTGTGATTGTCCACCATTTTGTCATCTGATGTGATTTTCCTGTTTGTTGTAAATCCTACCTCTATGATGTTAATGAGGCAGGACACAAATCTACAAGATTAGGTTGTATCTTGAGTCAATCTCTTTTGAGAAATAAAAGAGAGAAGCAAGTAGAGAGACAGGGGGACCTCCTACCACCAAGAAAGCAGAGCCGGGAGCAGACTGTGTCCTTTGGACCCGGATCCTTGTGCTGAGAAGCTCCTAGACCGGGGGAAGATTGATGACAAAGACCTTCCCACAGAGCCAACAGAAAGAAAGCCTTCCCCTGGAGCTGGCACCCTGAACTCAAGACTTCTAGCCTCCTAAACTGTGAGAGAATAAATTTCTCTTTGTTAAAGCCATCCACTTGTGGTATTTCTGTTATAGCAGCACTAGATAACTAAGACAGAAGGCAATGGGTTTCTCTTTTTATATGTCCTTTCTGGCCATGGTCTTGTAACTCCCACAAAATGACTGGATGGGACATGCAAATAAGTCATGTAAAACTCTTGTCGGGATTGGCTGGGAATTCTGTCTTAGTCATCTAGTGCTGCTATAACAGAAATACCATAAGTGGATGGCTTTAACAAAGAGAAGTTTATTTTCTCACAGTCTGGTAGGCTAGAAGTCCAAACTCAGGGTGTCAGCTCCTGGGGAAGGCTTTTGCTCTCTGTCGGCTCTGGAGGACAGTCCTTCTCATCAGTCTTCCCTTGGTCTGGGAGCTTCTCTGCACAGGAACCCCAGGTCCAAAGGACGTGCTGTGCTTCCAGCACTGCTTTCTTGGTGGTATGAGGTTCCCATGTGTCTCTGCTCACTTCTCTATTTTATATCTCAAAACAGATTGGCTTAAGACACTATCTAATCTTGTAGACCTCATCAGTATAACTGCCGCTAATCCATCTTATTATATCATAGTGATAAAGTTTACAACACATAAGGAAATCACATCAGATTACAAAATGGTACATAATCATACAATACTGGGAATCGTGACCCAGCCAAGTTGACAGATAGTTTTGGGGGACACAATTCAATCCATGACAACTGGGA